GTGTAATCTATAATCCAGACTTTTATTTACAGTTAATGCATTAAAAAAAAATACTGCTATATAACAGCGGCTTAACTTGCAGCAAAATTCTAATATTACATCCCGTACTTATTACCATATACTTGCCTCATCAACGCATCCTCGCTTCAGCAAATAAAATTAGATCAATTGAATTTTTATTAAATCGAATCTTGCACCTTGAAAAGAAACTACAAATAATTATGTAAATATTAAATTGAAATTGAAAATTAAAAAGTGAAATTAAAATTTAAATGATATAATTACAGGATGCGGAATTAAAAAGCATATCACTTTACTAACATAGTATTAGTATTTATATCCGCGATTTTTATTTTAAAGAATTAATCACACGTTATCTTGTAAAAGGTGGATTGCTGTTCCTGTTTGTAAAGTGGATAAACATTTTCTTAGGTGTGAGTTATAAATCTGCCGGTAGTTATTGTCATCTTTGTTTTTCCGTGACACATGCGTGTAATGCATCCTCGGATGAACATGTAACATACGCATCACAACACGAGGTGGTTAACGTAACATTTACTTTGCGCGTGCTTTATATCGTTGTGATCTTTATCATTCGGCTTCCGTCTTTTCAGAGGAGATTGTCCAAGGAAATAAAAGTAGGAAATTGAACTAATATTGAAGTATAAAATTTATGTATACTTACAAAGCTCCGCACGGATATAAGATAATAGAAAACAATAGAAAATAATTGAAAAAAAAGATTATTTTTAATCAATAATAAGTCACGCAATCTTTATTGGGACATAATATATTTTGTTTATATATATCTTTAATCAGAAATGATATTATCACTGTATCTAACAAAAATTTCTAAATTTATCCTGAATTATGATAAATAAGTTGATGAATTCCTGAATTGTATAAAAGATTATTTAATAATTTATCAATTTAATGTAATGAGTGAGATTTCATTAATAAGTATTCTTTAAAAGTAAAGAAATATAACATAAAATTAAAAAAAAATAAATAAGATTAAATTATAATTTACAAAAATTTCTATTTAATAATTTATAAATAAAAATAAACATTGCTTTAAAACGGTGTTTCAGTTTTTTACAATTTCTAAAGCCATCATCTTTGAAATTTACTATAAAGGTTAGTAACCTAAATATCTCTTTATATATCTTTAGATAAATCTTAATTTATGTTTCTTCATCGTGTTCTCTGAATATACAGTAGCGCTCGTTGAGTAGAAATTTGCAGCGATAGTAGAATATTTATTGCAAAATAATGAAATTAACGGGGTTCGCTTACGGCTACTTTGTCTACATTGCTTCCTCTTAGCTATTCTTGCGCACGGAGTCGGCTGGCTAATCGCTCTGCGAATTCTTATTGGCGCATCGCACGCGCGACTATAAGAACTCACGTTAAATATGTTAATTGAATAGTGTGAACCGTTACGCACTCAGCCCACGAGGCGTCGATTGTACGTTGTCGGCGATAGCACCGTTTGGTTGCTCACGAATGCCATTCCTAAATTGCAAAGAACACATCCGAGGTATTAACATATAGATTTCTATCGCGCCAAGTTAATCAACATGCGTTCTTTTCTACGAGCTATATAAATATATTTTAATAGAACATTACATATACTTTAATTTTCTCTTGAGCGCGATAAGAAATTTTTAAATATCTGTATAAAAATATAACAGTTTTTGTAAATATTTTCGTTTCAAAAAATACCGTTACATCCAAAGATATATGTATTATGTCTACTAAATGTACATATTAATAAATAATAGAAAAATATTAAATTTATAGTGAAGACAATTATAATTTGTCGAATTTGGATTTTATTAATACGACAGATAAACGAGAATAATTTTTACGTTTATTATAGCAATAATTGATTTACATTTTTCTACTTTATGGCGGAACTCGTGAGTCGTAACTTTTTGAAAATATTGCTTTCAATTTCTGACATCGGAAATCGAATAGAGCGTCAAAAACTTTTTGATTGTTTGAAAAAACGGATAATAATCCACATGTCGAGTTCTTGATATGTATAAATTGCATATGTCTTTTATATATAAAGTCAACGACTCTCGCACTGCAACGTCCGCTTTTGCCAAGCGCGGGCGCGTGCGTTGCGCCGTGATTTCTACAATTTCGCTGCATTCGATGCATCCATCTTACGCTGCCAGACAACCACCGATGCAAGTCGAGATGCAAGACGATTTCACTGATTTCAAGACTTGTATGTATATATCCGAGAAACACTTTGGATTTGCGTTTTGCACGCGATCTATGCGCGATTCTTACACAACGTGCAAATTATTTCAAAAAACATTCGACAATATGTTTGTTGAGAATTGAACTCGTGAAATCGAAAAGAACGAAAGAAACAGAACGGAAAAGGATTCTTTCAGACACAACATAAACTTATAAATATTCTATTATTTCTATAACATTTCATTTATAATTGCGATCGTCATACAGTTTTTATAATATTTTAAAAATTATTTTGACGAGACATAAAAATTTATTGAAATCTAAAAATCCTTTTTATAAACATTTTGTTAAATCTCAAATAGATAAAAATAAAAAATTATATCTCTATATAAAATGATAAAATTGCCATTCAGTTTGTTTATTAAATTTAACAAATTAAACAAAAAAGGAGTTATTCTTATTTTCTTTACAAATTTATCGAGTTTCTTCGGAATTAAAAACAGATAATACTTTTCGCAAAAGAAGAATGAAAATTTCTATAAATTTGTGAAGGAAAGTTCGTTCATCCGTAAATCCGCGTATCCGTGCGTGCGTTAAATTCCTGTCTACAAGGGACGAGTTTCACAATGGCGACGAGTGAAATTCGTTAGATCGTTGAAGTTTACTTCCTTCGGACATCGCATTTCGGATTGGCACACATCGTGCCGGCCACCGGCAACGTGCATAGCCGATGACTTCCTAGACGATTGCGCGATCCGACCGCTGCAGGATGCGACCGCCGCTTACTTGCGTTATCGCTTCCGTTACGTCGTCTAACCGGCGTTTTACGACGCTCGCAATCCCCACTTCTTTTTTTTCTTTTTTTTTTTTCTTTACGAAAACACGTCGACACACAGCAGCTCGATATGTTGCACTTTGCTCTCGGGTCGGAATTTGTCGGCAACCGGTGTGTAGGCACGTGAATAACGGAGCGGGAATAATGGAGGGTTGCCACCGAGACCGAATGTGTGTTTCTGCGTTTATTTTCGCTCGCGTACTCGGTGAAACGTGACGAGGAGGGCGTAGTATAATCAGAGACGGCTCCGGGCGTTCTGCATCTCCAGACGCAAGGTTGAGGTATGCATCTCTGCCATCATGGTTGTTACAGTTGGAATCCAGATTGGCGGAAAATGGACGTACGGTATAGCGAATCTCGTGAAATTTTGGGTTTGCTTTACTGTTGACGAGGAACCACGATACCAGCAGTTTCCAGATTGTAAAACAGAATTTTGTGCGAATCGAATCTCATAGGCAAAAGCAGTATTTAATTTTTATTGTGAGATATGTGTGAAATTAAACTAAAGTTTAGAAAAAAATTTTATTACATCGCAGCGTTATATTTGGGTCTATAAACTTTCTATTCTACTTCGCAACACCTTTCCCAATCATTCGGCGGCGGATGTATACTTAGACGGAACTTATGTTTTTCATCCGTTGCGGGAAAAAGCGAAATAATGTAAAGCACTTAGACGAGTGGTTTCTTGTCTTTTATTGTGCAAGGGACGATACGGATTACATAAATAAAGTCCTGTTTCGCACGGCAATAATATAAAAGCCACTACGTTGCGTCGGTCGTTGATTTGAACATTTTGCTCAGGAAGGTGACGAGACTCCGCCGCCCATTGAAATCATCGGCTTGAAAACAGTAGCGGCAATCCGATGAGGCAACGTCCCGCCTTGCATCGTACGCCGTTAATGGGTTCGGGTGCGTGATGATGTGGGGTTGCGTGTCTTCGATATGGCGAAGAGATTGAAAAGCGTGTTTACTGGCGATGCGCTCGCGATGGCCGGCCGGAGAACGCGTTGCATTATTCGTGCAATTAGTCATGAGAGATTGAACCGCTCAGATAGCCGGGAGTGTATCCTTTGTGAGGAGCTAACAGCTTTCGCGAGAATTCGCACGCGAATATTTGAGGCATATTTCTCACCGTGAAGTGGACACGTCCGATTAGACGTGACCGTCGGGGAAAAACGCTTCCGTGCGCCATCGTTACGAAAGAACGTACGATTACAGAAAGATATGGATAAAACAGCATCCTTTCGAATCTTTTGCCTTCCTAGAAAACATCTACGGCAAGATCTACTTAATTTACATTGCGACTTCCGTGAACGTGATTATGAATCGATAACACGCGATGAACTGGCGTTAGAAAGGAAAACAGGAACGACCGCATTAATTAGCACGTCTGGATAACTATCGTCGCCATACGAGGACAAAAGTGAAACCTTTCAGCAAGTAGGAACTAGGTCTCTCCACTTGAACTTCCAACGAGATGCACTCGTTAACATTCCACTAAAGAATTTTAAACCTAAAATTATTATTAATCGATAACATAAATAAAATTATTTAAAACATAAACTTTCCATTAAGTTATTTATATAACAAAAAAGATGTAAATTATATGTAAAAATGTAAATTACATGTAAGATAGATTTTCCACTGATGTACGTATATACAACAAGAGAGAGAAGTTTCTCTTCAAATTCATTATATTTTAATTCGAAAAGAAAGAAAATTATATATATGTATCTAAGTTTAAGTAAAGAGAAGACGCGAATAAATTCTGTGACACAATTTTATCTTTTTCTTTTTATTTTTAATACAGCTGTTAAGATTCGTTCGATCTATGCCATGTCATTTTACGAAACTTATATCAACAGTAATATATGTATCTACGTATCTATACACGCGCGGAAAACTTTGGTAACAATTACATTAAAATAATAAGAAATGCATCGCGTTGCAGGATCCGATGGCACCGGATGCGGTTATCCGGGCGCACCGGCACATAGCAGCGTGCGTTTCACCGGCAGAGGTATCGATGACGTCATAGACGAGGAGGATGCCCTCCTTAAGGATACCACGTTACCAGAGGGTACCGTAGCTACGTATTCCTGTGAACGAGGATTCGAGCTTCTGGGTCCAGCGAGAAGGGAATGCCAGGCTGAAGGCATGTGGGCGCCGGAAGGTGTGCCTTTTTGCGGTAAGTATCTTTTACTTTTTCTGAAGCGTGATACGTCCGTAATTATTTGGAATTTAATATTTTTCCTTTCGCTTTGCAAAATTATATAAGTAGATTTATGATAGTTTATTATTAATGTCTTATCGGAATGTCGATAGCCGCAGTGAATAAGAAATATAGGAATAAGAGATAGACCTATAACTCTTTTCGTAAATTGTAAATTCCGATAATGATTTATGATGATAATTTTATAATATAATGATACATTAGTATAATTAGAGATATTTTGTGATACACTTGTCTCTCTATATAGAGTATCTGTGACATAGTCACTTTCCTTCTTTCAATCCTTTTTTTGAATTTTAATTTTGAGTTAATTTTCTTAGTGTACTTTCAGGATTATAACTTAGGACTTAATCAGGATTATAATTAAAATTTCAATTGAAAAATATTGATTGATTTGGAATGCACTTAAGTAAAAGAAATCTAATTTTAAAAATAAGTTAGAGAAACAAATTTGATTTTTTTCAATTAGACGTACATTTTCAATCATTCAGTAATCCATGAACTATCAGTTCCCCGATGTTTTCGTCAAAGAGAAATCGAGTTCAAGCCGGACAGAAAATCCGTAAGGAAAGTATGACTGGATAAGTCTGGGACACTGCTCCGCATAGGGAAGGGATATCTTTGTACGGAATAGTCCGGCTTTCTATAATTACATTCGCGAAACGACGCGAACGACCGATGACGCTGAATTTGTGTCCACGCTGTTTCGGGGAGGCAAGTGACCCGATTCCAAGTGTCCTTGACCGAACAGGTCCGACGACAACGACAACAACGACAACGACGACGACGACGACGATGACGACGAGGACTGGCATAAGAAGTGCCATGTCGAAATACGCCGGTGGGGATAGTGCACCGTTAACTCTGAACCTGTTACCTCCTAAGAATGCCCGCGGCCTTCTCAACCTCGCGCGCATTCCTCGAACAGACTTGCCAGATTCTCCGTTGTCCTTGGATCAGGTTGAACGAATTTACCCCGTTCTTCGAATGACCCCGGAAAGTGGCTGCTCTCCATATCTTCCTCCTCCCCCGCTCGTTCTTGCTATGTCGTTTTTATCATCATCTATCGCTCCTTCCGACTGTAAACTTATTATTGTTGTATATAATAATACTTGCATACGCAAGATGGAATGCTAATTTTCTTTTAATGACGTCCGCAAATCCTGTCGAGCCCAAGACAGTTACCACGCTTATTAATCGCTTGCTTCACAAAGTATATCACGTATTCTTTTACCTGTATGTATTCTAATATCCATGCTTCTCACCAGCGGGATATCCGATCGATAATAAATGCCTTATATGTTCTGTACATGCAATAAGCAACTTATCGCGCGGAATGCGTTTTCTATCCTTGCGTTTGATCATCTCAGAAATGAGGTGACCGATTCTCCTTCCATCGCTTCTCGATTGAATGCATTGACCACAGAGCAGACTGAATGCTTATCATAACTGAACTAAAATTTAATAGATTGTAAAAAAGAAAGTATTTATAAGTATTTAAAAATATTTTATTAAATTTATTATTCTTTATCTCGTATATTATCTTTTATATATTATTAAAGAGAAATATATTTTTTGGAGCTAACAGCACATATATATTTATCCAAGTTTAAATTTTAATTATTTAAATTGGAGAACATTTTAAAAATCTTCATAAAAATATTTAAAAAGAAAGAACTTGCAAAATTATTGATTGTAAAATAAATGAAAAGCAAAGGAATAAATAATTTTATTTATTTTCATACATAATTAATATAAAGTTAGATATGGTTAACTTGAAAAATAGAGATTGAATAACTAAGAGAAAAGCTTTTATATAATTTATTATACAAAATTCTATTTTAATCTATTTTCTACGAAATATTTTTACGTTTTACTTTTTCATTGACACGTTTGTTAATTTCAGTTATCCTTTCAGCTTCTTTAGAAAAACTAGAACTAGAATCGGAGAAAAAGTAAAGTAAACCGTGAACTGACCTATTTTTTGTTTCGTTAGACAGTCGTGCGGTTAGCTGATGACTGAATGAAATGCGCTCACTTCCGGAAGTGCACGATGTTATTCTTCCTTTTAGCCATACAATCCTTGCATGCATTCTCGCGCGAATCGTATCGAAGTGAAAGAACATAGCTCGGGGAGACTCGCTCGCAGCCACGCTTCACGAATTCAACGACAGGCCGAACTGGTCCAGGATCACGAGAAGTGGCGCCGTGACGTGGGCGGAAGTGGGTCGCGGCGTGGATTACGAGTACACGAAGTCGACACGCCCCGACAATTGCGAGGACTGTCTCTTCGTGGTGTGAACCAAGCAGAACGTGAAAAAGAAAGAATGAGGAAAGAAATTACTTGTTAGACACTTTTGCCGCCAAATCTCTCATAATGATGAGCCATAATTCAACGTATATTATGATAAATAATTTAGATTGATACCATTCATTCCTTCATTTATTTTACGAACATCTCACGTGTAGTTTTCATGCACTTTTTCCGGATTAAGTCACAAGTAGATCTCATTAGAACCTTGACAATGCTCTAACACTTTCGTCCGTCGATGAATTCTTTGAATGCTGTATAAAACATCGATCGGATAATATATTGAAAACACTTATGTCAAACCAATATTCTATTTAATCGTGCTAGCGCGTAAAAGGAGTACGCGCTAGCAGGATAATTAAGATAAATTAATCTCTGATGATTAATCAATGACGATAATCAACTTTTTAATCGACCGTGAAACACGAGATTGTATAAGTTTCTCAATCCTCGTCAATGTACATTGTCATAGATAAATCTCATGTCTAGGAAAGCATTATTCACGTCTAGGAAAGTAATATCAGAAAAAGGTGTTCTAATAAAATAGTCAATTGAGATTATTTGCAGTCAATGACGATGTAAATGTAGTTTTTGTCAATGCACAACATCCTAGACGTATCTAAAGTATGCATTACTAGAACACGATTATAGGTCATGATTCTCGGCCGACTGGGAGGAAAAAAGGGACAAGTGTCAGTGAAACTGTCTTGAAAGGCGGAACATTGCTTCTGAAATTATTTTCGAATTTCACGGTCTGCATATAAAAATTGTTAACGACTTCCTAACCCGAATGTTTTCAAGCACTCAATTCTATTCTTGAGTGATACTATTGTCAATTATCCTCAGCAAATATTAACACTTAAATATGTTTGTGACGGCGATTTTTCTATCACATATTTTTTTTTGTCTTAATTTTATTTTTGTCTAAGTATAAATAATTAAAATTTTGTTTCTTTTCTAAATAAGTTTTTGCTAGCAAAAATAGCGAATTAATTAAATGATACTATCTTCTAACCGTTATATATATTTTTCTTGTCTAGATATATCGACATATTCTTTTTTCTCTCGACAATTAAAATAATATGTTGCAGATGTTTAATTCTATTTATTTCGAATGTAATGGAAAATTTCGAGAAAAAATAAAATACACTTAATGCGTTTAATATACTTTATGTTATATATTGTACGTATCTTAATATAAATTTTCCAAACAAAGAAAAGCTTTAAAAAGTATCGTGTATTGATATTTATGCTGATATCTAACTAATTGACGATAATTTTTATGCAAACAGTTTTTTCCCATGTATCTATATACCTGGAAATCTTGTAGAACGTTAGAGAGTATGAAGAATTTCTATTAGTTATCCAAAGTTGAATCGTAATAGAGTTCGGTAGTTCAGTAGAGCAAGATCTGACACATTCCTGCGGTAATCTCTACCTATTTCTCGAGGCAAGAGGAAATGCCGGGCAGATTGATGACGTCGTAATGGCAATGACATTTCTTGCGCGGGGCAATAATCGTTGTACATTTGCGGATATACTTCTTCTTCATCGTTTTCGGGCAATTGCGAGGCAGGCGTGCGAGCGGTGTTTGCACAAAATTGCTCGACTGCCCACCCAAGACGGTCGCAGCAACAGTTTCTCGTGATCCGCCGACCGCGAGAGCAAGTTGCCACTTGCGCAACTGTGCGTGAACTTGACTTTTCGAACGCGTACCTCTCGTTCGCCTTCCGCAATAAGTACGCGCTATTTCCGTAAAGAATTCATTTGCAACCGGACTTGATGACGTTACGAATAGGATATGCGAAAAACTTTTACCACCATTTGTGAAATCTTTATTTAAATTTCAAACGTTTAGATTATTAAAATTTGACAGACTCGATAAAAGAAATCTATAAGTCTGTAAAGATATTTAACGTGTGTTCATGTTAGTATATTAATATTATTTAATTAATATTATTTATGCATTTCTCTCTATTTTTTTTTCTTTGAAAGTTTATTCCTTGGTTTTAATAACGTAAGATGATTTAATACTTATTATCACATGAAATAGTAGACTTTATTTCTTTAACTTTTTTTAACTAGTCTTCTAGGATTTTATTCGTTTTATCTCTTTCTCTTTTATTAAAAGAACGTTCTAAGAAAATTAATTATTTTATCGAGATAATCTTTATAAAGACAATTTCTGTAGAGCGTTAATGTGCATTATATTTGAAAATATTTCAAGCTAGAGAGATTATACACCGTAATAAAAAAAGAAAAACTGTGTTCACCATCCGATAAATGGTATAGTAAAATTGTAAGTCAGACATAAAATCGACGCTTGTCTATGAAACGTTTCCTGTTTTTTGGTCTTGAGGATAAATACTTCGCATTTTGCGAAAGATCGCATACTTTCTTTTTCAGTACTCGCTAAAGAATTTCCTGATCATATCGTGAATAGTTTAGCTAATGCATATTGCGATATCGCTTTAACATAATCAAAGCACTCATTATTATAATCAGAACAGTTCGATGAACTTTGCAATTGCACGGGACAAATTGTCTTTGTTGCATTGTAATTTTCTTCTCTTTCACATCATTGATATTCTCATCATAATAGAGATATGGCGTACAAGGATACATGATCGATTAGTATGCCGATATGGCCTTGCCTTAATAATCATTCTAAAAAAATCATATGATCGAAGTCTCGCAATGAAAAATAATGGAATAGTCATACAAGGATGACGTAAGCAATAGCAATTAATTTCATGGACATGTTATATTGTCCAATATTACACAATAAAAAATAAAATAATGCTATTTAAATAAAATATAATTATTAATTATTGAAATTTTATTATATTCCTTTTTTTGATAAAATATTTTTATAATTAAATAATTATTTGTTTATTTATTAATAATCTTAAATGTATTTTAAGCTTTAAATTATGTTTACTTTTTCGATTTAATTTTGATTTTTTTTTTTTCATTATATTAAGTTCCGATTAAAACATTGTTTTACAAATATTCTAAATTGGAATAACTTCTAAATAGTTTTAGCGTAAAAATTACGAAAGCGATTTAATTTTATAATAAAGATACTGTACCTGAATTATTAGATCGAAAGCATGTGCAATCAGATTGCTCTCCGTATCTCTCATTGCGCGATATTGACAGAAAGGATATGGCCAAGGCAAAAACGATTCGCATTTGCGTGTATAAGAAATAACTGTAAATTATGAGATAGGTATGGCGTGCATACGTATACGTATGCATCTTGTGGGAAACGTGCGCGGCATACGTGGACTTTCATGGGGGCGCTAGCCAGTATGTAGGTTTAGGTCGAGAATGCATCGATTATCGTTTTATGTGCCGAACCGACGCCTACTCGATAGAATCTCGATTACTTAAGATAATTATATATACAACAGACACGGCTGACACAAACGCGCGCGTCTCGACAAATATTTTAATTTACAATTAGTCGCACAAGTAACATATATATATATTCCTAATTGAAAGTTCAACAATAAAAGCATAAAATGAAATATTTAGTCATTAACAGATTAGTTTTTAAAATAAATAATCTGTGACAACGTCATTTTATGCTGATCACAAAAATAATAAATCTCGATGCTATTACGATTCATCTCTGTTTACATTATCTGTTAACTAAAATAAATAAACAATACAATATAATATGCCGAGCTAGATTTCAAATAACAGAACGGATAAGGAAGGTAACTATTCAGTGAACACGATCTTAGGAATTTGATAATTTTTCTCATTCTTTATTATTTTTATGATTATCATTTTATGCCGATCATAAAAATAATAAATCTCGACAATCTCACAATTTATCTCTACTTACATCGTCTACAACTTTTAGCAACAACTTTTCACGTTTCTGAAGAATTAACAGTATTTGGTAGGAATTAACAGTACTTAATGCTCATTTAAGTTTAATGCTTATTATTTCTAAGCAGGAATTGATTATGTAACTTGAGACTTTTCTATTTTTAATGGATCTAAGCTTTCTCTCGTGCAGACACGGAATACAATTAAGCCCGAAGATTAGTCTTAGCTAGTAAACCTGACCGCTCTTTCCCAACGCATATCGGAGTATCTTGGAGATGAGCGTGATGCATACGAGCGGATTGTCAGTCGGTTCTTTGTTTGCGCATCGGTCTTCTGTATGCGATACGCTCGCCGTCTTGTCTATGCATCTCTCGATTGTTCCTCGCGAGATTCCATGAGATATTTTGGGGCCGTGGTAACAGATTGCATACAGAAACGCACGTTCGTGGTTCCAAACGGCGCCATGAAATGCTTACACCGATTTGCGGATTGTACCAATTACAAAGAATGCATAAACACGTGAAAAATTCATTAACGCATTGTATAATAAGATGCACTTCCAACACAAGCAATTTTGTAATAATAATTGAATTAGATTATTATCTAATCTAATCTATTTTATCTATCGTACAGAATACTCGTTAGTGTCTTCCAAACACTCGTGTGTCGAATGACGTTTACGACGACATAAATGGAGGAGTAAAGTATTCTTAAATATAAGTCGATCGTAAAATGTAATATAACTATCAAGCAAAGAGCAACTGGGTCGCGCGTTGAATCATTCGTTCGCGAGGACAAATGTGGTACATATTATCACGCTACGTAAGACACTCTCGCAAAACACAAGATACCTGTTTGAACGAGCGACTCTGCACAATGAAGGATAGCGATCCCATTATTAAGGCGCATTCCGATTAGATATTAATTAAGGCCGAGGCGACGCGTATCGCGGGCTACGGGCACGTATCGCCGTCATCGGCATCGCGCATTGGCGCCGATAAAATTCTTTACGTTACGGTACAGTAAAACTACCGCAAGGCCGCCAACGTGTTCGCGAATGCACAGCACTTGCTGCACAAAACTTGGCGATGGCCACCGATGGTCTCCATCTGCGTGCCGTACGGCTATTCACCCGTGCGGCGGCGGCGGCGGCGGCGGCGCCGACCTTCTTTTTATCGGACGGATATGGCAATGAGTTACAGCGATTTTCTCACAGGGAATTATTGCCGCGTCATCAAGGTATGCACTCGATGTTAAGAAAAAAAAAAGAAAGAAGGAGCGTGGACGCGAGTCCGGCGATCATCTGTCGCGGTCGTTTCTGCCTCATAATCGCACGCAGCCTCCCGCTTAATTTATGGATCGACTTTAAAGCGTTCAGTTACGCGCGATGTAATCTCATGCCTGTCCTCTGTCACAATGCACTTGTTAACGGGAGGCTTCAATCGTGCATTTCGTATCTATGCCGTAGACGACAAGTAGTTAATAAAAAATCCGCTGGAGAGGAGACAAAATTAGTTTTAATCGTACATTTGGGAACGCGAGGATTCGCAAGATGTTTTAGTTTCACCGGACTTATTTACGTCATTACCTTCCGACATCTGCGGGAGTAGTTCATCCCGCACCGATTATCGAGCATGACAATCAATCGATTATTAATTTTCTGTTGCAGTACTGAACGTGGCCGGCGGTAAAGCGCCGATGCAGTCCAGCAGCGCGGAGGGCGGAATTCCGCAGCGCGCGGTCGATGGAAGCAGCGGCCAGGCTTACACGCCGCAAACCTGCACCCTAACGAGGCCCGAGCGTAGACCATGGTGGTACGTAAACTTGTTGGAACCGTACATGGTGCAGCTGGTGCGACTGGACTTCGGCAAACCGTGCTGCGGTAAGTAATACCGTATACCTCTTCGCGCTTCGCCGCTTGCGTGAATTTACCGTTTCGCGTAATAAATGAACTCTTACAAATCGCAGCCGATATTTCTGCACCCTATCGTTCAATATTCAACGAGCTCGTCTAGCGTGTTACATATTCCGTGAAAGAACGGTTCTTCCGCATCCTGTTTTCCTGAGAGCATCTAAAAATTTGGTCAGATACAATGAAAATAACTTATTTTTCAAAATAATTAGAATTTTGAATTGATCGGTAAAGTAAATTTTTACAGATTATCATCACGCTTAAGTGTCTTACGCACTGATTAATAGCTTCGACAAAATTATTTTTAGCTTCATACCTGATCAAATTTTTAGACACTTAAACAAAACAATGTAAAAATATTATTAATCTTGCAAGTTGAAAATATTTTTGGATGATTTAATATTACATTTAAAGAACAAGATGAAAATATCAAGCAAAAATACATTGAGATATCAAAGTATGAATTTTAGCAATATTTTAAATTAGGAATTTTCTCATTGCATTGATTTGATTTCAAAATTCTGCTGTTAATTGATGAAATTATAATATGAACGAATCAAACAGATAATTCATGGATACAAGAAATACGGAGAGATCTTTCTGAATATCTTTCAAATCTAATAATAGATTCAATGAAAAATACAACGACAAAGGTGTTAACGTTCATCTTTCGAAAATCCTTGGTATTAGTCAAAGCGATGATTAAGAGAGCGAACCGCGGAAAATTGGTATTTGCACTGCGGCCTTTTCAAGCGACGATTCGCTCTGTTTCAAATTATAGCCCCGGACGAACGGTCGATCATTTCTTTCCAGCAGGGCGATTCACGGCGTTAAAAGGTCTGTCATCGAGTCTAGGGTACAAAAAAAGAATGGCATGCGATCGTAAGAAAGATCGTCGTGATAGTCGCGATAATTGGACCTCTGCCAATGCCCGTTCGTGCCCGTTCGTCATTTACGAGCGCATCAAATCACAGTGTCTGTTTTCTTTCGCGGTGTCAATCTCGCGGGGTATTGGATTCAACAATTACGACGTTGCGTCGCTTGACGGAATAAATCGGAAAGTAAGGTGCGTTCCGCGCACTGCAATTTGCCGCTGATAAGCGCGGGCGATAAAGTCTTCTCATCGGTATGAATTCTAAATGCGGGGCTCGCGCCATCGAGATCGAATTCCTGCGATATCATAAATATCCCGTACGTATCGCCCGGCACTTTCGTTTCCGTGGCGCGTTTTCTCGACTTTCTATCGATAAATAGGCATTACCGGGATAATTACCGGTAGCAGTGCTCGCCAGCAAGATGGATTCGCGATCGCGTTGCTCAACGCACAGGCGATCGCGAAACAAAGTCCAGCATTCAACACTGTCCGCCTACGCTCGGATTACAGTACTTTAGATTGAGTTATATCACAAACAACTTGTTCTTACGGACGTCCATTTGAGAAGTATATTAATTATGTAAATAACATACGCGATACTAGCAATTGTCTCTCCCCATTTTCTCCGGTTGTTTTCTAAAACTTGCTTCTTACTTCTTAAAAAGAAAGTAAAATAAATGTAAAATAAATGAATTCTTTAATATACAAATGCTAGACACCTAATGTCAAAATTCTAACATCAACAAAATTTCTGTAATTAAATATAACATTTTCAAATTTATTCTATTTTTTTTTTTCGTTAAAAATATCTGTTCTTATAAATTGTTATTTTACTTTTTGCTGCTATATGATTTATGAACTGTACTTGCTCACGTTTTTCCCGTCGTGATAAATCTTATTGCGATCTATTCTCGAAGAGATCAAGCTCGCTTCAGCGAGCATTCGTCGATCTGAATCATGAACAATGCCTAGTCAATGATGCTAGCAACGTAAAATAAATGGATCGAGAGTTTCGTTCACGGAGAAATACCGCTTTATACTGTACAAACGAGCCGTAAAATTCCACCATAAAATTCCCACTTCCTTCCCTTTCTTCCAACCCGTCCGAAGGCCCTGCTTGCATGCGAAATCGTTTAGAAATTCTTCCACGATGAAAGTGAGAGTCTTTCCACTTTCAATTGTTAGAAAACCACCGCGATACGTCTCCTGCGGTACGCTGCATGTATTTTTCAAGTTCGAATGAGAAACACGAATTTGATCATCAATCAGCTCAAAATTATCATTAAACTCCGGAATTAAATACACTGTAGGGAAAGAATAGGAGATAATTGTAAGAACGAGTAAACTTTATTATTCGGTTGTCGAGTACAGAGAATCGCGGCAATCTGGGCCTCGCAGATTCGGTTCTCTCGCACGGGCTTCTCCCGCTATTTCGTCACGTGATTATCGTGTGATCGTAGCGTGGCTTCGTTGCCTTACGAACATTCTCGCAGATTTCCCGAAATTTGATTACAACGCTATGTTGTCATTTTTCTTTTCTTGAAAGTTTCAATGTATACAATCTATTTGTTACAAACGTATACATTCAATGTATACGTTTCAAGTTTTACAATATAATATATGTAAACAAAAAAATTTCATTCTGATTATAATAATTAATAACGTGAAAACTTTTGCGAGGTAATGAAGTTATGTGCTTTCGGAAATTTGATGTTATCTGGCGCGTCTCTGCTAATGAGCCTCCGCGTTATTCTGGAAAACTAGCATTATCGTTTCGAAAGTTCATCCGCTTGTGAACAGGAGAAACTTTCACTATTAAACGAGTGATAATAATGCATCGTTGGTACTGGACACGCGTAAACGGGAGCAAGAAGCGCGAACGTTTCGTTGTTCCAGGGAAAACGCTCTCGGCCGTACCTTCCTCGAGTAAAAGTATTTCCATGTTCCATGTTTTCGCGAGGAATTATCGCGGCAAATTAACAAGATTGTCTAATTACGTATTGGAAAGCAATAAGAGCGAGAATACGAGAATCGTGCGTGCAAGACGAACAATTAAACTCGAGTGGAATTGTTTCCGTGTTGGCGCATTCTCGCGGAATTCGCTTGATAAATTACGTGTCGGGAAGAGATGAATTATTCAAAAACGATAATTGACGATCGGCCTTTGTGCTCGCGGATAGACACGCACAGGTCGAATTGCCGCGCGAGATGGAGATGAAACAATGCCCGGCATAATGCGACCCGTCTTAAGCAGCTGTTTAGTTACGGCCCAGCACCGAAGAGATACCCGACGATAATTTTCATGCCGGCTTCGGGCCCGCACGACCGCTCATAATTGAACGGATGGCACATTACAATTACTTCGATCTCCCTGCGTGAAAGAGCAGCTTTCACGTTACGCCTCAGCGACAAGAAAGAATCGAATCGTTCAATTTCGTCAATAAATTGCATTAATAAAAACGCTCGTGCATTACGTCTTTATTGCTGTTAAGTATCGTAATAAATTGAAGAAATTGAATATGCTAAACTCGTATATCTCGAATTTTATTGTAGCATCGCATTTGTTTTTGGCGCGATAATTTTTCCTTGAACATTTGAAGGTATAAATATTTTTTTAATTTCGTAATTTAAAAGGAAAGATTTTTGACGCATTAAACTTTGATAGACCATTTTGGTAGACCACATGTCTTTTACATTTGAACTTGATTCATTGAAATCTCTTATTATTGAATATCAAATATGTTTCTACTTAAGTATTATTCTTTTACTAAATTTTAGAAAAGAGATTAATTGAAAATTGCGATAAAGATTTTATACGACAGCGATGGGCAATATTAAAAATTAAAATAAAATGTAATTAACGTTTAATAATTATCAACATTTATGATCAATAGTCTCCCTCGCTATCTTTTTACGCGCGACACACGGCGGAAGATACGGAGCACGTCTCTCGATCCTTTTTTCAATACTGGAATTTCTCCTTTACTTTGTGTTGTTCCTCGCTGATGCGCTACATGTCTACGCACTCATGACAGGCAAGAATAGTGGCTCGCACAGAAAAGTATCGCGATACGTACGTGCCGCGTCTACATATCTCTCGACACGATCCTTTTATCGTACCCGGAGATCGTCGCGAATTCGAATCTGCGATTATCGTTGCAGGGACAAAATGTGGAAAGCAT